TGATTAAGTAAATTCCCAACAATTAAGTGAATCAAATATTGATAAAATCATTTCCCTTATATGGAGTGGGAAAAATTACATTCACAATAAGGACACAAGTTTCTTACCAGCCCCGTGTTGATATCTATAGAGTTGTAAAGAAGAAAAAGAAAGACGTCATTCAGTTTTTCCACAAATGGATGATTGTATTATGCGCATTGGAATACATATATGATAGTTGAAATATTGGGTTTGCCTTTCTCTTTCTGTCAATTATATCTTTACAATGCGTAGGTATGTTGTCATGCCATACGTGAACCCCAAAATCATTAAGAGTTACTCAACTTAATGAATAATAGAAACATTAGAAAAAAAAATTTGTTATATTGCCATTTGAAATATCAATGATAAATACAACCCATCTCTAAAACTTATTTTTTTTTACCGTGTAGTAATATTTAATTTATTTTTGAATTTGTTCACTTTCCATGTTAATTCCATAAATTAAAGAAATAACACAAATTTTCTCAAATCAAAGTTCAGTGGAAAACAAGAGTTTCTTTTGGACCGAAAAATATAGACATTTAATAGTTCTTTTGATTAATTATAGCCTAATTTATTTTATATTTCGTTTATTAGGTAAAATTCAACGTGGACATGAAATTAAAAGAAAAAAAAAGCGAAAAATGATGAAATCCAAAATTTGGAGATCTAATTGTAACTTTTCAATAGTTGATTTGAACTACAAAATGAAGATTGGAGATATTACGGGTTCAATTGGATGCAACTAGAAGTTAAAGGATTGAAATTGCAATAGAAAACGACTTAAAAGATTCAAGAATCGAATCTGAGAACAAAATTGGACATCTGTAAAAATTATAACCAAGCTTTTGAAGAATTTTTACAGAGAACAAGCACCTAAGCGCCACATGAATAATTTTCCACCGAAAACGGACACCTAGGCACCATGTCCATAGCACCTAGCTACACGCTACATAGAATAGGAAATTGTAGCAGTTTCCTATTCTGATAAAAATTCTTCTTGGAATTGAATTTCGACGCCATTGTTATCTAATTTTCGATCCTTATAATCATTCATCAAAGGAACACATCTTATACACCTGAATTCATAAATCAAGGTTTGAATTCATAAATTAACATCATCAATCCATTGTGAATTAAAAACAATTGTAAGATTTCAACACATTAAAGATTCAAACCTTGATTTTTGGGGAACAATAAGAAAAATAATTGGAGATTCATCAAGATACAATATAAGAAATTCAAGAAACCAATATTCATCTTCCTCCTCCTTCAACAATCCATATTAATTTTGAATTATTGCAATTTTGTAATGTTATGCTATGATTTTAAATACTGAGACATTGATGAACCTTTACTATGATATTTTAATATAAATTCAATAATTTGAAGTTCAATATGTGCTTATTATTGGATGATTGTTATAAGATTTAATGCATTTTCAATTATTTGATCAATGATTGGATTGATTATGAATATTATTGATGTCGAGAGAAACAATAGGATAGATAGCACCTTATAAAATCTGATAAAGGATAGAGATATATTGTTATGATTTGCATAATTTTTATAGATGCTCTAACTTTTTTAATGCGTATTTTCATATTCGCATTTTTCATAGAAATATAAGAATAGAATATATTTAATTGATATTGAGATGTTTTTAAATAATTTAGGAATATTGATCAACAAGATATATACATATTGTTATTTGTTTTAACTTAAACTAAGAGTAAATTAGTCATTTTATTCAAATTTGGCCTTCTAACAGTCAATTTGACATTTTTTTTTTTAGTCTAAGAATGACCCTTGATGTACATCTCTGAAAGGTTCGGAAGTTCAAGAAATCAATGATTAGAGATCTCATCATCACAGCATTCAAAGGTTCGTTTATATATTTTTTTTTTTTACAGATTTCGGTTGATAACGAGAATGTAAGTTCTATTTTAATTTAGAAAGCAACAAATGTAGAGTTCAATTAATTGAAGATGTGTTGTCTATTCACATGCCAACTTCTTTGTTAGGTGAAAAAATCAAATAACAAAAATTTATGAAAATCAATTAGAATTTCGTACACTAATCACTAGAATAGAGTTCTATTATAAGTTAATGTCCTATTCATTTTTGATGTATGAAAAATGCTTACTCAACAATTAAAGGACTCTAATATTCCCTTATGTTATCGTAAATGTTTGTCAAATGTGATTGCTCTAATATTTGTTGAGTCGTACCCTTTCTACATTGTGGAGCCGTGACCACAAATTTGTGGCCTCCAAACCGTGTAAATGAAAAGATATTTTTTTCTTAATACAAAATCAAGCAAACATTGTCTCTTTATATAACGATAAAAAAAAATTAGAACATCTCGTCTCTCGTCTAGATTGCCATAATTTGGTAACAGTACTAGAAATGTAAAATAAGAAATTACAAAAACCTAAATTTTTTGAATTAATATTTGGTTTAACAACTTTTTTATTAATCACCTAATTGTCAAAAGTAAAAGTTAAATATTCAGTTGGTCTATTTTTAAAATTTAGTACTTAATTAATTGAGGGCTCATCTAGAAATGGATTGGAATTCGGTTGGAGCCCATTCTTTTATATTTTCTGTAGGAAAAAATTGAGGAAATTACACCCACACCTACTCTTCAATTTTTCATTTCAAAAATTAGGTACTAAGGGTTTTTCTTTCCATGGGAGGGAGGTGTAACCCTTGATGTACAAACTTTGATGTACAACCATCATTATCCAATTATATTTTACCCATTCCTAACTCACAATCACATCTACACCCCCATAACTGCCACTCGCCACCATTGCCCGTTGTCGCCTCCACTTTACCATCATTGCTCGTCGCTACCACCATTTTCCCTGCTGCAGTAGTAGTGTCGACTATCCATGTGGCCGAACACGCCGTCTGAGGGTGCCAACATCGCAAAGAAAAAGAGGATAGGAAAAATTAGGGCTTGTGTAAGGGTTTGGGAGTGATGGCCTTTAGTGCAATTTGTAAAATTGTAGGCACCTACTTGCAATTTCAAATCAGGAGTCTGATTGGAAATGATGGTTGTTAGTGGTGGTGGAGTAGAGTAGGGTGGGATGAAGAGCATTTGTGACAAATTATTTAGGTAATTATGACCAGTGAAATGAATAATTTGTTATCAATAAATAGTATATGATCGATAAAATTGATCATTTGTTACAAATAAATAATATATGACATAAAAATATGTGATTGTGATGTTTATTGTGAATTGACTTGTGTTATTAATCACTTCCTTTTTGAAACTTTTTTATAAATTTCTTATTTTTTATTTTTGAAAATGTATGTTGAAAGCTTTATAATTATGTATTTTTATCAAAAATATTTGTAAGGGTGTGTTTGAGTTACGTTATTTTGGAAGAATGCATTTTGGAATGGTAGATTGCTAGAAAATGTGTGATTAAAAAAGAAGAAAAAATTATTAATGTGATGAAAAATATTATTTTATTGATTTGTGATCGAAAATAAGTAGAAGAACGATAATCAAAATATTTTAACGGGAGCCAAAGCTCAATTGGAAGCCATGCATATCCAACTATAACCCATGCCTGTTTAGTCTTGTTCAAATAGCAGAGGGGGCAAAGCGGCTAAGGTTGTCTTCCTCGGTATTGCTCTAAAAATTGGGAACAATTTTAGTGTGAAGGAGAAGCAAAGAGAGAGACATATTCAACACCCCTCGGCACCAATTTATCTCGTGTTGCAGTGATTTCTACTCAACTTCTTCCTCACCAAACTGGAAGGTAGTATCGGTTTTTATTAGTGTAAAAACGGGCTTTATATGATGAAATTGCACTCGATCTGGTTGTTGTGAATGATTTAATTTCAATTCAACTCTTTATTATTCATTTAAATTTCCAAATTTTTTGTTTCTTGATGGTAATCTTCCTCTTGCAACACTGATTTTTGCAACAATTCTCTTGAATTTTTTATGCCATTGTTTTCTCCTTGCCTTAAAACTGGCTGTACGTCAAGTGTAATAGGTGAAATCAGAAATACCCAGGACCAAAATCCAGTGGGGGCAGTTTCTCCCACTAGACCCAGGTGGCTCTTGTGAACAATGACTTCTTTACGAAACCGAATCCGAATTGAGGATAGGGATGTGGATGTGGAGTTTTTTCAATTATTTTTCCTGTTTACATTTGGGAGGACTGCTTATTTGGAAATCACGGGAAATTGTTTTATTCAAATAATAAATGTACTCGAGATCACTGACCTGAAATATTATGTTTTTGAATTATTTTTTTATTACAACGGTACCCACAACATGTCTGCAATAATGAGATATTCATAGGAGCATACCGCATACTGTTGATTTTCCATTATGCTGCTCATTTTACTTAGCTATTGGGATTGATCATCTTTATAGCCAAGATTCAGTTTGTAAACTAGAGCACTTTGAGCACTGCTCTATTCATTTTGGTCTATTCAGATTTTATTTAAGGAACATGAAACGCTCTGGACATTTACAATTTCAAAATGAGCTTGGTTTAAGCCAAGAACTTGGCCACCCAAACTTGTTTTGCCCACTCCTTGTTGCTTCTATAGTAATTTTAATATTTTTGCTTTTTTATTGTTATTTCATTGTGCCATGTTTCACTGGATTATATCATGATTTCTTTTAAAAATATTTTATTTGGTTGGTTTAGTTTTAGTCCCAAATGTCTGAAGTTAATTATTCTTGCATCCATAGTTGCCATTGATGTTATTGGTTTTCAACTATTATTTGGTGCTCCATTATTAAGTTGTGTCGGCCATACAATAAATGAACGGAATTTGTAGGGTTTATATATTGATACTGTGAAATATTTGATGATGTCATTTTCACCATGTTGCAGAAGTTGGTTTCTTAGATATGATGAGTTTGATTTCTCAAAATGCTATACCAAAAGAGGTGAAAAAGAATGCATATAAGGATGGGACTGCACTCATTGGTAACAAAGAGGTTGAGGATGGACAGGAGCTTGATTTGGATGCTATAAAGAACCGAAAGAGAAGAGGAGAACGAAAGGAAAAGAATGAAGTATTAGAGATTGAGCAGGAGAGGGAAATGAAGAAGCTAGAGAACGTTTTGTTTGGCTTTTTGTACTCTCCCATTGACTTTGGGAAGGACAATGATGAAACGATTATTGAGGTTGACAATAGTTCCACATTGTTCTTTATGGACAGGTCAGCAAATAGTAAGTTGTCTGTTTATGAAGAGGATGTGGAGTTGGTGGAAGAAACAAGTGACGAGGAGGAAATTAAGCAAAGGAAGCCTGTATGGGTAGATGAAGAAGAGGAGAACGCCGGCATAAATATCGCAAAAGTAAACAAATTGAGAAAGGAAGAGGATGAGTGTAATTTCTGGTTCTTCATACGTGTCAAGATTGAGAGCGCAGCATGCTAAGCTGAACCCTGGAACTGATTGGGCACGACCTGTTGTGCAGGCAAGAGATTACAGCTCTGACGATGAGGATGTCGATCAAGAAAGTGGGGACAGTGGTGGCCACTAGTTACGAGGATGCTGAAGGTGTTCATCATATCCTTAAAAGGAATGAAGATTTCGTTGTGAAGAGTAGTGCAAAATTGTTACCAGGGCATCTAGAGCACTCAAGACTGATGGATGCCAATATGACAGAACATTCGAATGGTCCCATAAAATCAGTTCATTATCACAGAAATGCACAGTTACTCCTTGCTGCTGGATTGGATAAGACACTGAGATTTTTTCAAATTGATGGAAAAAAGAATGCTAAAATACAAAGCATTTTCCTTGATGGTTATCCGATTTACAAGTCTTCTTTCTTACCCGATGGATCTCAAGTTATTATATCAGGAAGAAGAAAGCTTGCTTATAGCTTTGATTTATTCACGACAAAGAAAAGTGAGATAGGCCCTCTAATTGGAAGGGTGGAGAAGAGCTTGGAAAGCTTCGAGGTTCCTCCTGATTCTAATACAATTGCTTTTCTCGGCAATGAAGGGTATATTTTATTAGTTTCAACGAAAACAAAAGAACTCATTGGGACCCTGAAAATGAATGGGACTGTTCGTTCAGTAGCTTTTACTAATGATGGACAGCAATTGCTGAACTCTGGTGGGGATGGGCATATTTTACCACTGGGACCGGAGAACAGGGACATGCTTCCACAAAGGCGTCGATGACGGTTGCATAACTGCTACAGCTCTATGCACTTCCCCGACTGGAAATTTATTTGCAGCTGGTTCAGACACGGGGGCTGTGAACATATACGACATGGAAGACTTCTTAGGTGGGAAGAGGAAACCCCTCGAGACCCTTCATAACCTGAACACTGAAGTGAATTTCATGAAATTCAACACTGATTCTCAAATGTTAGCCATCTGTTCGAACATGAAGAAGAGCAGCTTAAAATTGTTTCAAGTTCCATCATTTTCTATGTTCTCTAACTGGCCGCCATTAAATCAGGCTCTGCATCATGCGAATTGTCTGGATTTCAGTCCTAGTGGAGGTTTTATGGCATTGGGAAATGCTGCTGGGAAAGTGTTACTTTACAAGCTCCATCACTATCATAATGCATAGTGAATTTCTTATAATATATCAATTGTTTTTGGTTTAACAGTTTAGTGAGATACCTTCTCCATCAATCTGGAGATAATATCTGAGGTAATTTTGTCTATTTTGCCCTTTAAATTTCTTTTAGATTTAGATTAGAGCTGATTGAGCTCAAAGCCTTGAACTGCTTTCTATTACTAATATGTATTGTACTACGCTTGGCTTGGTTAATTTAGCTAGACATTGATGCTAAGTTTTGTAGCGATAAATCTCATTGCACGGTGACTGACTCGATTTGTTTTGCATCAAGGTACCTAATATATGTCAACTGTTAGTTTTATTTGGTTCTTGTACCCTGGATTAGACATCATGTCCAAATAAAGTCTTGAAATCGTTTTGGAATCTGTATTCCCTCCGGGCTTTTTTCTTATTTTTATTTTATTTTTTATTTTTTTTGGGAAAGATCATCAGTTTTAAGCTGCTAAAATTTGCAATTGACCAAAAGATGTTCACACAATTTACATTTGCACATAATGTGCCTATCTTATACTTCGCCTCTGTCGGACTAGCGACAAAAACAGTAGTCTCCAACCAAGACCAGGAACCAACTCAAATTTTGATCTTGATGTCATAGGTTTTGAATTGATCATAATTAAAAAATCGTCTTTGTCCTGTTTAGAGTATCAAACATGTCAGTCGTGTTTTGCATAGGTATGGAGATAAAGTGTGAGAATTTCAAATTGGTATTGATTTTAGTCTTTGAAAATAAAATAAAATAAAATAAAAAACACAAATATATTCCTTATATTGTACAAAGAAACTGATCACAAAGTTTAAAAATGAAAAAATTTATTATAAATGTAATGAAGGAGAAATCAACCAATAAATACATTCATTCTTGGCTTCCTCTTTCCCAGTTGGGTGTGGTGGTGGTGGAGTGGGGGTGTTTATCAGCCATCTATTTTCTGCTTCCACATAATATACTAAAGGGATTGAAATATTATCAGCTTCGTCACTTCCAGAGTACAAATGCATCTAATAAACCTCACCATCCCCATTTATACCCACCATGCAGTGGGACCTAATCCATCAGCATCGAGTGATCCCTGCAACAAAGTACAAGGGCCTCATTAGCCACTTCATATATGAAACAAATTCAGAAACAAATATATCTGACACTGGTAGGGTGAAATATTACAAAATTCATGCAGCATTCAAATTTTTCAAAACTTGCATAGTTGAATGAGTGCAATGAAGTGCTAGGGATGGAGGCGAGGCTAGGGGAGGACCTCCCCTTTTTTTTCCAAGGGCAGAGTCAAACCCATGGAAGAATTAAGAATTACTGAAATTTTATTGTAGGAACGTAAAGGATCCATTAAGATGTTTTATAATGTACAGTCTCAACGTGACAAAACATAGAAAATTGTCACATAATTCATGTGGGGAAGGCAATTTAATAATGCACCAACCTCCCCCAACCAACAAAACAGAAGAACAAAGATGGTCGTTAGTCCAATTCAAAAGGAAAACCTGAGACAAGAAATCGCAGCACCTGTAGAGGATTATTACAACATTCATGGGGAGTTCAAATTCTTTTGAACCTTTAGTTAAAAAGTTGCATAGTTGATTAATTGAAACCTATCCTTTCAACATGACAAATATAAAAATAAATTTTGAAAAGTGAACTTTTCTTATAGCAAGCAGGTAATCACGTAAAGATCAATATCTGACATTGTAAAAATTACTAGGGACGAAATCAAACCTTTGGAGGGGTTCAATATTCTTGAAATTTTATCATAGGAATGTAGAGGATCCTTTACAGTTTTTTATTATGTATAGGGGTCAAAGTCAACTTAATAGAACATATAAAATTGACGTGTGATCTATGATGGGTTAAGCAAACTCAGAATGCACAAACCTACATCACGCCACCTGAGAAAAGGAAAAAAAGAAAAAGAAAGAGCGCGCCTGTACAAACACACCCATCTTATGTGTAATGTGTTGCTTTCAAGATTTGGCTATTTATTAACACATTCAGCAGAATCTCAAATAAAAATTGAACTGTTATGAAAGAATCACCATGAGTTCCGAATAACCAGAGAGATTATAGCAAGGACAAAGTATACAATAACAGGTGCAACATGTTGCACTTGTATACACCCCCATGAAGGAGTTCAAGAAGGATAATAAATATCAAACTAAAAAAAGGTAAAAGGAGAAAGACTTTCAGAAGGGCACACCTGCCCTAACTGTTTCAGCCCATTTATGACAGGAGAGGAGAAGAGTACACCATTAAAATTTCTGATGGCGTGAACATTAACAAACATACAATAGAGATATAAGAAATTATTTGCAAGCTCCACTAGGAAGAATCCTGACATATACTTCTTGAACATTAACAAACACATAGCACATACTACAGAAACCCCACAAATAGTGGCACAATTATCATAGAAAGAACCACAGTTGTTAACTTACAGTGATAACCATTGGGGCAAATGGCTTTAAATCTTTTTGCCTAGAATCTTTTTCTTCTGAATCTTTTTGCTCTGAATCTATCCCTTGCTCTACAGGTATAGGTGGATAATTTAAACTGTGAACCCTGAATCTTATCTGCAGTGAGAAACAGGGAGTTGAAGTTCAATAGCAACTCACAAGTTTGAATTGATGTTGAAGAAAGAAACATATTAACAAAAGTAAGAGCAACCTCATCCGTCCAATCTATTGGGTAATTTTCTCCCATATACTCCCACACCCACTTAATTCCGTTCCTGAGAAGGACAAGAGTTAAGAGAGAGTTCATATATGAGCGAAAAAGTTTAGCTTCTCGTCAGAAGCTTTTGGTTACATATATAATTCCATGATAAATTTGATGACAGCTGAGATGCTTACTTATGTTCTGGATCAGGGTCGGTATGATAAGGATTTGGCATTAAAGGGACGGGTACATAAATGTCATCGAAAAATCCAAGTGACACTGCCAAGAATACATTTAAAATCAGCATGATAGATACAAATGCAATTCTACAGAAAGAACTGTAGATTTCTGAAACTATTTTATCAAAGAAATAAGCAATAACTTAAATATATTGCCATATGATTTATATTACAATGACCTCGAGATATTAAACTACGCTCTAGGCTGAAAAATAAACTTTTTCTTGAAGATTGATAAAAATAATAAATAATATCCTTAATCGATCAAAATATATAGCATACAGATAAACACAGCTGCCTTTCAGCCTTTCCATCCAAATGCGCAAAATGTAGAGTAAATTGAATGGATAAACTACATCTGGGAAAGGGACTCTAGGACGGAAAAAACGATCAAGGCTCCAAAGTATAATAAAGGAGATCGGAAAAGCATCCTAGAATTTCACATAATTAGAAGATCTGTATTTCAGAAAATTGCCATCCTTAAATGTTGATTCTGCAAATTATAAAAGCAACAATAACATCTAAAGAAGCAGATGTTTTCTGACATGGAAAAACCAAAAGCTACCAGTATCTCACCTAAAATAATATGTAACAACATCATTATCAACATGCACACCTGCACAGTCACAAGTTTCGGATCTTCAAAAAGGAAAAATGGTGACCACTTGAACCTAAGTTCCGTTTCAAACATAACACACTCAGCAAAACTACATGCTGTCTACTAACTATGCCACCGGGCCTTGAATCAAGTTTTGATATAGATGATGGGAAATGACCATATATAATACCAAATCCAGGATATCTTTCATCGTGTAATAAAAAGTCATCAGTTCTCAATCTGGCAGCATACCTACCAACGCATTTAAGTTAGTAAGCGATTATACAGAGAGAACAATTTCCAAGACAATTGAAATGCCATATAAAGATTTTAACTTGTAGCCGACAAAAGACTTTCGTACCTTAGGTATATAATGAGCCTAATTTCAGTTTAGTTTTAGACCTTATTTATTTAAATAAGAGTTCCCCTTCCAATTCATTCTCTACTTTTTTTAAAAACAGCATTCTGCTTAGAGCGTTAGTAAATAGACATCACATTTCCTATGCATTGATAGTTTGATAAGAAGATCATACGAGATGAGAAAATAATCAAAGACCAATAAAAATATTCAGAAAGAAAGTGTCAAAGTACTTGTATTTCATACAGCGCAAACCATCTTTAGTAGACTCTTTCAGTCTTGCTGATATAACTTCTCCAACATATGGGCGAAACATTACCAGTCTGAACCTTGCCTGCAAAAGAAGACAAAGAAGTTCAATCATTAGGATAAGCACATAACAACTGGAACTGGAAGACACATTTCACGTTAAACCATTCAAGTGAAGATTATGCTCATGTCATAAAGCAAGCATGCTACTAACATCCTTTTACCTTGCCTTTAGTTTCCTTTGTTGACCAGGAAAGTATGGAGGAAAGTTGAACTTCCCTTTTGATAAGATCCATCTTCTGATACCACTTTAACGAGGTTTAGAAGGAAAATTGAACAAGTTCCAAAATGAAAAGACCCCAAAAATTTTCAAATATAGAGAACATAATTAGCATAACAGCATATGTAATTTTCACTAATAAAAATTTTAACATTATATGGTCAGCTGCTTTCTCGAGCCAAAGCATGTCATATATCACACTTGGATTTCAATCGCTTCTCAAAAACATTCTGATTCAGATAGCAATACTTTAATCCAATAAAATAGACATAAAAAATTGCCTACAATGATGACACACCCAAACGCAATAATTTAGAAACACGTCTAAAAGATTTCAGCTAATCAAAAGATTAAGACAGACAAGCAACCCACTGATAATTTGGTAGTAAAAAGGATTTTAAAAAAGGGACAAGAAAAAAATTGTATAGCACACTATTTAATGAACTTCTAAATAAAACACAAATTTCGGATCATGTACAAGACATAAGTTTTCAAAACAAACAAACAACGCTAAGAGAAATATACCGTATAAGTGGAAGCACCATCTCCTGGAAAGATAAATCCACCATCAATGGATAAAATATCATACACGCTTACACATAACCCCAATTTATCAATCACCTATCATAATCATGGAAAATAGACAGTCTCAGTAATAAAAATAAAAAAATTAAATTAAAAAGAAAAAAAGGATGCAGACCTTGTCTAAGAAGAGAGATTCCAGTTCTCCTTTAATGGCCACATTGAGAGGACGATTTAGGAGATGAGGAGGCAATCTCAATGTGTGCTCTATTTCAATCATCACAAACATTTTCTTCAATCTACGGAAGTGAAAACTGAAATGTAAATTCCAAGAAGAGAAATTTAAACACAAAAATTTGAAGGAGAATCGAATTTAAAGCAAGGCGAAAGATGAATCCTGTATAACTGGGCTCTACTTTCTCCACCTAATTGGGTTTAGGGTTTTGATTTCTAAATGTAGGGTTCGAAAATTTTGGACACAAGATAAAAAGGAAATAATATCTATTGATGCAATTTTTCAATTAATTATTTTTCAAAAATTGAGGATGGACTTCTAAACTTTTAGAGCAGGTCGAAAAGACCGTATAAACAATTTTTAGTGGAAATTACACGGTTCCATCAAATTCACATTCCAAATCTCAAGTGAGAAGGTTTTTTATACAGAAATCAGGTATTGATCTAATAATTAAATATTAATTACAAATAATAAATAAATATTAATTATATTAAGTACAAAAGGCACATTCCCTTAAATAGCGTAATTCAAATTAACCATTATCTTAACTTCCATTATTATCCACATTCATTCTCCATCAAACTCCTCCCCACGACTCCACGACTCCACCGATCGACTCGCTCCATATTCCAACTATTTTATCTAACTTTATACTTCTCATCTCTATATTATCGACATTATCTATTCCATGCTACATCTCTTCCATTCGTCATCTCTTCCATTAAATTATGAAAATCGAAGAACCCGAAATCTACATGAAATGGCAAAAGAGAAGGGTGCCAAAAAGGGAATAAAGATTGAAGACAAAAAGAAGGTAGGGGAAGTCTGAGGAGAGTCACAAACAAATCCCACCAAAAAAGCAGATGACATCTGTGACAGTGCGAAAACTGCCTTCGAACAAGGTAATTTCGGTTTTTTTTTTATTTTTTATTTTTTAAATTGATTTACATGTAGGTATTCAAAAATTGATAGGTAAGAAGTATTGAAGATGTATTGGACATTTGTGACCTATATTCGATCCTATTGCATTAGTGATTGGAATGCATTATGATTTCTATTTGATTCCATTGTTTTGTGAAAATTGGTTTTTTTTGTCTTAACATTAAAATCTTTAATAATGTTCTTCCCATAAAATAAAATAAGTCAGCTACCACTGAAACCCAAAAATTGGAAAATCCTTTAAAAATAAAAATAAAAATTGCCTAAACAACAACTTTATCGTTTCCCCCATTAATACCCATTATAAGTAACTCAACAAAACATAAAATACAAAAATAGCCCCAAAAGGTGCAGCCATCAGAAAGCCATGGATCCATCATATGCACTTAAACTTCCACCGCATTCAACACGGGTGTATTACCCAAAAAAAAAAAACACCTACACAAATAATGACTACAAATATAACTAAAATCGTGTAAATAAAAAAAAAATAGTAAATATACTCGAACTAGATTCACCAATGATATTACAAATAAGTGGTTATACATATGCGTACACTTAGAGTTGGAGAAGTGTTGAATTGAAGAGTGAGGGATTGAGGAGATTCGCAAACGAGATAGCAAGCGGGAGATTGACGTAGGTTGCTAGAAGAATTATCAAGTAGACTTTCTAGGCAGGAATGGTGTATAGTTTGGATAATTTCATTTTAGTCCCTATTAGTTGTAGAGTTGGATGATAACTTCTAAAAACTGCAATTACATCCCCATTGACTGAGTTTTAATTACAGTCAACATTTACCTATAATATATTAAATATCATGTCAAATGAGAATCTTTTGAACGATTCTATCTTTACTATAATTCAATTATTTCAATTACTTTTTTATTTTTCAATATGTATTTAATTATTCCAATTATACCATACTTTTCGTTTTTCAGTATATATTTAATTTATTAATTATATGAACTGTTTGAGTAATATTATCATTAATTATTTCGGCAATTATTTAATTATGATAAATGTACATTCGACACATTCATTACCTTACTTTTTGTTTTTCAATATATATTTAATTTACTTAGCCATATTTGACACATTCATTACATTTTCGTTTTTCAATATATGCTTGATTTATTTAATCATTTGAACAATATCATCATGAATTATTTTGTCAACTATTTAGTTATAATCAATATATATTTGACAGATTCATTCCACTTGTTTGGATAGTAAATGAAATTCATTAAAAAAAATTTAATAAAAGAAGAATATTCTTAGAATTTTCTTCAAATTGATTTATTCAATGAATATTAAGATACGTAGAAAGAAAATGGGGGGGCATAATGCACATCTATAATAAATAATTTCAAATGATATTCAATGCATATTGAATATGACGAAAGGATGTTCATCGTTCGATGTTCAATTCAGATCAAGGGGATAAATGGAGGGACTATTCTAATTAACTTCCTCAACTAATTAAATTATTTTCACAAACTGATTTTTATTAATTTGAATCAAAAGTCAATTCCACATAAAAAAAAATTGTATTAATTACTTTTTATTTTCTCACAACTTACGATATTATTTTTATAACACCTATAATTAAAATGTATAATGAGTTTATAATATCAATGTAAGAGTTAGTCTCTGTTTGATTCCCTTTAATTTATTTTGCATTATTTCTTATACTCATTTTTAATCATATATTCACATAATAAAATATTTGACACGTAAATCCAAAATTTTTTCTCACTTTTTAATCATACATTCTTCAAAAAAATATTATTCAAAACATAGTTTTTTTACAAATAAAGGCTACCAAACTGGGGCTTAATAATTTTTTTAAATAACTTTATAATACACTAGTTGACATAATCATCAACAGCTTTTAAAGAATTTCCTTTTAACACTTTGTATATATTAATTAAAAGAGAAACATCAAAATTCAACCATTAATAGCTTTAGAAGTTGTTTTCATTTCCTTGAGTTATGGGGATAATACTGTAATATTTATCCAGACGTGACTTAAGAAAATATTATAAAATCTAGATAAGTCGAAGAAATCGTGCAAATTAGGGTTTTTGCAAAATATTCAGTGTGTGGCTGGAAAATCAATAAATGTTTATTTAGAAAAAGTAAAATGAAGAGCTAAAGTGGTATTGATCACCAAAATGACTTAAAAAGGAAGAAAGTTTAAGAGTAACATGCAATTGTTATTGATTGCAAATTAGAATAAAAGACCTCATGTCCTAGTACTTTTCCGCCCATCTATACATAGCAATGCTAAACCTAAATTTGTTAACTTAAATTCAACACATTTTTTTTCATTTATGAGAGTCCTACGAAACTAAAATTGTTAACCTAAATTCATTAGTAAAGCAACAAATAAAAATAAAATATTCAACCATTAAGCATCCATTTTTCTTGCTTGATTACTTTGTGCTTAATCTTCTGAACAGTGAGATAATCACTAATCATTAATCAATCACATAAATTAACATCACATGAAATATCATTGATTCATTATCACATAAATTAAGCTAGATAGTCTAGAACTAATGAATTGCTTCCCAATAACAATGAAGCTCAAAATAATTCTAATTAGTTGACTGTGTTGAAGCTTTCTGCCTATACTTACAGGCTTTTTGTACTTCCCAAGTCAACTTCTAGATTGAAATATAATATGCCTTCTTTAAATCATAATAAGCCACACCAATAATGATTCTAATGTGCAAACGAGTTGTCAAATGAACTACTTAAAAAATTTAAGTACAAAAAAGTTCTCATAATCAACAGCTTTCTATACTTGCAAAGTCAATTCCAAGATCCAAAAACAATTATTTCTTGATTGCAAAGCCCACCAACAGTCCACCAAGCTTCAATTAAACACCATTATCAAATATAACTTCTAACTATAAATCTACATGAGCAATCCACCACATAGCATTCTAGATTACTGATATATTCAAGAATCAAGGTGGAGGCTTTGAATAGTGGCTTAAGGAAATTGACATTGGATTCAAATTGCAATAGCCAACAGTTACGGCCCTGCTCGGACCTTCCAGACTGCCGGACTATACAGGAACTGAAGAGAAAAAGCAATTTTATGGGAGAATGTACAAATTACATGATGTAAATCTAGTTGGTTTCAAACTCAAAATCGATGCCCCGAAGAATTCTTGAAATTCAGAGATTACTAATCGCAACCAAACCATTCTAAATACCCAACAGAAGCACTTGCCAAGAAAATTCGGGGCAAGAAATCCCAGATCAAAAATCAAATAGTACAATCAAACCAGGAATCTTCAAACTAAAAAACTCGTATTTAACTTTTAAAAAATCAGAAATTAGCATAGCATAAACTTACTTAAATAGTCACCAAGATTGAAAGTCTGTTGGCAACCCAAGCAAAGAAATCCGCAGAAGTTTTATTGGTGGAGTTGAAGAACCACCAGGCAGCGTCAGTGCTAGTTCCAGTTTCCACTGCGGCACTACTGTTCTTCCGTCGTCTGGAGCGTCTCTCGCAAGTGAAGCTTTGTGTTATTAAAAAAAAAAAAAGAGGCCCCCTAAAAAATGTGGGCCTGAGGCGGAGGCCTCTTGGGCCTCTCCTCAGGTCCGGCCAATGATAGAATGCATGAAAGGGCAACCTTTCCAATATTCAAGCCTATAAATAAATTTACTTATATATAGGCTCAAGTTTAAATTGGGTCCCAAAATTTTTTTTTGGTCTCAGATGGTGGTGGCAAAGGCGGCGCCTGAATGGGTAGTATTGGCGCCGGAGGACTCTGCTCTTTGAAGAAGTGGACTAGAGAAGCCGCCAAGGCAATGGAAATCATGATTACCACCATAATTAATGAAACATACTCCACTGTGAAATTACAAAAAAAAAAAAAAAATACAAACATACATTAGCTCACCAAAATAAAAAAAGCTGAAGGGAAGCCACTAACTTTAACTTACCAGAAATGCTAAATGCTGAACGGAAACTTTAACTTACCAGAAATGCCGAAGTGATGAAAGGGAAAGGGTTTTGAATATGGAAGATAATAAATTCTAATGGTGTGTTTGATGAATATTATTGAGGAAAAAATGTATTTTAAATAGTAATATGATGGGAAATGTGAGGTTAAAAAGTAAGAAAACATTATTTTATTGAATAATGTATGATTGAAAATGAATTTTGAAAAATTGTGTACGAGGTAAAAAACTAGTTAACAAAAATAGTTTCCAGCGGTGAAAGTCTGACTCTGATTTGACAGTTGCTTGGAAAGTGGGCAGCTAGCTAGAACCCCAAGTATGGTTCTCTCTTTTTTTTTTTTTTTTAGTTTTCTTTTAAGCCTACCTAAATTAAAAATATTTATTTCGAAAATATTTAACATTAAAATGTAAATTCTAATTTGGATTAATAAAGATATTTATTTCAAAGTTGTCTGTTGTACTATTTTTATGTCCGATAAATTCCTAATAAAATTTTGAGCAACTTTTACATTTGAAAAATTTTATTAGAAATTTTACATTCAAAATTTTCACTTGTAAAGTAATAAAAAAATTTACTAGAATTCACGAGCAGACAACAAAGACTGTACATTATTGCACATTTGAAGTTGTAATCACATCAAAAAAGTATTGCAGGATCTACGTAAACAAACCTGACCAGCCATCGCTCAGCGACATAAACACATTTACCATGAGCCAATTCATCCCAAACTGTGCCTTCATACCTTTCAAAAAATGAAAAACCATCAGTGCTGGAGATATAGTATGGAAGAAGATTGTAATGTTGAGAACAATTGACCAAAATCCATCCATGCCTAACCTCTAGTAATGGTACGCACTAAAAGAGCGTGAACCAAATTAACTTTAAGTGCCAGGAACTTTTAGCTAATACTTTAACAAGACCAATTCATTATTCCAGAGACAATCATGCATATTAATTCTTGCATTGCGTAATATTAACACTGGAAGCGAGGTAGCAGAGTTAAAATAATAATAATAATAATAATAATAATAGGAGAAAGAACTTCAACTTCAAGTGATTTTCAAGAACCCGTAGTAATCTATAGACCATTGTCATGGATCTAGATACAGAAATTTCGCACCAGTAGAGATGGCAAAAAATTTCGATAAACCCGATACCCGCGGGCCCCTCCCCGAACGGGGCCAGAATAACCGTCTTAAACAAGTAACGGGGCGCGGAATTTTGCCCCGCGTTAAAATTTTTTTATTTTTTATTTTTTAGAATTCAATACTTTAAATGAAAATTTTTATTATTTCTAATAAGAAATAGCAACTAAAATTATTTGTTTAAATCTAATGAATATGGGGCAATAATAATAAATTATCAAAAAAAAAAAAATTTAAATTGAGAATAAACGGGGAAAAGACCGCCCCCGCCCTGCCTTTAACGGGTAACGGGGCGGGGACAGTGGGGAATTTGTTAGCGGGGCGGGGAGCTGCCCCACCCCATTGCCAACCCTACGTACCAGTCACTAGAATGCTACTACATGATCAATAGCATATTGAAGAAACTGCAACAGATAAGATTTAAAAAAAACAGCCATTTGTTAAATATTTATAAACAAGATGTATAAACTCGGAGGGACATACTATATTGGAGCCATAAACAGAGAAGCTGGAAAAATTGAACAAGTTGGAGCCATGAACAGCAACATTGGTTGCACTTCAGTATATTGCTCAAAAACATGAATTAAACTAGAATGACAAAAAAATTACTTGCAGATATTGAAAATAAAAACATACATTTTTTGGAATTACCTACATGTGTTCTCTCCATGTCAACGACTTCAACTTTCACGATATGCAGTCCGTCGATTTTGGATCAATTTCGATTTGGAGGTTAGGGTTCACAGTGGTTTGAGACTTTCAGATTTGAGAGGTCGCGCTTTTGAAATAAGGTTTTAATTTCACGCTTTAAAATGGGCCGAGGAGAAAATTACATGGCATTTCATTTATGAGTTGGACTGATTTAACCTGCCACATATGCAATTCGTTATCCACGTAATCCATGTTAATTAACAAAAGTCAGTCGATGATTGATAGAGTGTGACTTTACAAAGTTCAGCAAGTAATGGAATATAAATTAAAGTACAGTAAGTGAAATGACGTTGTGTATAGCAGTGAATATTCAAACAATTAACTCTTGTTTCTTCATAAATGGACCTATGCCAAAGGGGTGGGCAATTCGGGAATTGTAGAAAAAGATAACAAGGAAGAAGACGTAAATACCCTCTTTGAAGGTGAGCCCTAAACTTTAACCTTCGACATCTCCGAAACGGATCCCCCAAATCTGCCCCTCAAACTTTTCGGTTTCGTTTGCCCTTCCTTTCTTCAGGTATTTTCAATTCTCCCCAAGTTCACTCTCTCTTTTCATGTGTGTTTATTTATAATATGTGGCGCGCCAAAAATCAAATTCTCTCCATTTATCTTTTCAATATGTATGTGTGCTTTCGGATATCTAATTATCCTTGATCCCTCGTGGCTACAGATTGGGGGTTTCTCGAGGGTTTAAGGGATGATTCTTTTTCTCTGTGTATTATATTTGTGTCTGGGTTTTCTGATTTTTATTTAGTTTGTGGATACAAAACCTGATCTTTTTTGGTTCTTAGCTATTATTTCACTGATATGTAAGTATTATTTTGCATCTTTGGGTTTTATTAATCTGTTTTGAAGGTAAACTGGTTTTTCGTTAAGTTCCAGGCTGCAATTTTGAAGCTGTTTATGACGGGTTTTGCTTGCCTAATCTCAGATCTGTTGATGATGACATTATTTATCAATTCCGTGTAGCCATATTTTGTTCAGTTAGAGAAATTTTAAACCTTTCTAGAATTTCTGCGGATATGGTTTCTTCTGATAAATTATGTGGGAGTTTTAAATTTTCTTCTACTCTTCTTAAGTGAAGGTTTGTGTTTTTAGAGAAAGTTTTTTATATTTCCTTTTTTCCCCCCAATGTTACTTAAGCCTTGGACACCTGCAGATAGTTTAAAAGATCATAGCTATGACGATGGTAATATTGGGTATTTATTGATATGCTTGCAGTATTAATAAATTTTGAATTTGCTTTTTTGCAGGTAGATTGCAAAGACTAAGAATACTTTGAAGTATACGAGAACTCATTGATCTTGTGTTATTAATGGACAACCAACATCCAGTTATTGGAAAAAGGCAAGTTATTTCATTAGTTCAAAATCCACATGTTGGTCTTAAGCATACTCATAACCTGGTGATTCAACAGAGTCCTTCCTTAGGATTGGCACAGACACATGAACTTGATATGGATTTAAAACGAGCAGATGATAGTGAGATAAGTTTAGGAGAGGGTGTAAGTTGCAGTTATTTGCTGGTTCCTGCCATTAACCAGGAATTGGCTCTTACACATTGTCAAGAACTTCAAAATGAGTATGATCAAGGCAATGATCATGAGAGTAAATATAATGTGGGTGATGTGGATGAATTGGATCCATGTGAAGATGGTCAAATGGGCATCGATCAAGATGATAGTGGGTTGGATAAACATGACAGGCAATTGACTTTTACCTCACAGGAACATGAATTAGGCCTGTCAGAGAATAATGAATTGGCTATTATAGAAAACCATGATATTGATGACGACTTGGATCTCATTGTTGACCAGAATCATGAAATGGCTGTTATCTCTTCACCCAATCTGTCTGTTCAGCAGCCTCAGTTCATAATAACTTCCTCTATTGTCCAATCGCGGATGATGACTCCTGCTCCTACGCATGAACTTAGTGTGGGCCAAGAGTTCCCTGATGTCAAGAGTTGTCGCAGAGCAGCAAGGGACGCGGCGATAGCTCTTCATTTTGAGTTACAGACAGTCAAGTCAGACAAAACCCGTTTCACTGCCAAATGTGCTAGTGAAGGATGCCCATGGCGAATTCATGCCGCAAAGCTTCCAGGTGTTCCTACTTTTACCATTAGGACCATCCATGCAGACCATACATGTGGTGGTATTGCTCATCTTGGTCATCAGCAAGCCTCGGTCCAGTGGGTAGCAAACTCTGTGGAACAACGCCTCAGAGAAAACCCACATTACAAGCCAAAGGAGATACTGGAGGAGATTCACCGTGTTCATGGTATAACCTTGTCATACAAGCAGGCATGGAGAGGAAAGGAGCGGTTCATGGCTTCTCTTCGTGGTTCGTTTGAGGAAGATTATCGCCTTTTACCACAATATTGTGACCAAGTGAGACAGACAAATCCAGGAAGTATGGCATCAGTTTACGTGAATCCACTGGATAATAGTTTTCAGCGCCTCTTTGTTTCATATCAGGCATCAATATATGGGTTTCTGAATGCGTGCAGGCCACTTATTGGGCTGGATAGAATTCTTCTGAAAAGCAAGTACCTTGGGACCCTGCTCTTTGCTACAGGTTTTGATGGTGACGGGGCACTATTTCCTTTGGCATTTGGTGTTGTTGAAGAGGAAAATGATGAAAACTGGGTGTGGCTCCTTTCCGAGCTACATAACCTTCTTGAGACCAACACCGAGAACATGCCAAGGCTTATTTTCTTGTCCGATAGGCAGAAGGGCATCGTAGATGCAGTAGAATCAAACTTCCCAACAGCTTTTCATGGGTTCTGCTTCCGTCATCTCAGTGAGAATTTCCGGAAGGAGTTCAACAATAGTGTTCTTGTCCACCTTCTCTGGGAAGCTGCTAATGCTCTTACTGTTATGGAGTTTGATGCTAAACTTCTGGAGATAGAAGAAATGTCACCAGATGCTGCTTATTGGGTTCGACGAATTCCTCCTCGCTTGTGGGCTACTTCACATTTCGAGGGAACACGCTTTGGGCATCTGACAGCCAACATAGTTGAGTCATTAAATTCTTGGATACTGGAAGCTTCCGGGCTTCCAGTAGTTCAGATGATGGAGTGCATACGTAGGCAATTGATGACTTGGTTCAATGAGCGACGTGAAGCAAGCATGCAGTGGACATCTCTACTTGTTCCCTCTGCTGAAAGGCATGTTTCAGAGGCCATTGAACGAGCACGCACTTACCAGGTTCTCCGAGCAAATGAAGCCGATTTTGAAGTTATATCTCATGAAGGGACAATCACTGTGGATATCCGCAACCGCTGTTGTTTATGTAGAGGATGGCAGCTATATGGTCTTCCCTGTTCTCATGCTGTGGCTGCTCTACTTTCTTGCAGGCAGAATGTTCACCGCTTTACTGAGAGTTGTTTCACTGTGACAACATATCGCAAAACATACTCACAAACCATACATCCTATCCCAGATAGAACCCTCTGGCAGGAAATTTCTGAGGGATCTCAAAATGAAGGAAGCAGTGAAGATATAGTAGTGAATCCACCAAAGACACTTCGGCCGCTCGTACAGACAAGAAAAAGGCGAACTCGTACTGAAGATCGTGGTCGTGTTAAACGGGTTGTGCGTTGTAGCCGCTGTAACCAGACTGGACATTTTAGAACAACATGTGCAGCGCCCATATAAGGTAGTCCATCAGGCAATTTGGTTCTCCTTTTACCTGTAAAGATCTTATTTTCTATTTCACTGGTAAGAGAATCTCTGCGCATTTTTGGATAAGTAGGATACATGGTTTTTTTTTGTTTTTTCACCGAAGGTAAAAGGGATTAGTTTTGGCTGTGAATTCTTTTATCAAATGGAGATTGTGGTATCAATGAACATATCGGTTGTGGCCCCTACACTAGTTTTCCAAGTCAGTCAATTGGGCCCTTGCACTTCTAGGTATTAAAAGAAATTATTATGAAGTGTTTGAATTCTTTTTACAAAGAGCATTGATCCTTGCAACGTACTCAACGTTTTGAGTGATATTCTTTTGAAGGCTTCTTTTAATTTCTTTAGTTATTTGTTTCGCCTTATGCTGTCTTTTACTTTTAATGGTTAGCTATTTGCTAATTATTTGTGAGTTGATGTGTCGTACACTACAGTTCCTACAACAGATGAAGAATACCAAGACGTAAGAAGTAATAATCTAATTGCTTACTGAAACGAACTTCTCCAACAAGGGAAGAGGGAAAAAATGGGCCAGACAAGGAGAACACAAATCATAACTACTACGAGCGAACCATATATAAATGTACCATAATCTCAATCCAACATTTTCATGGAACAAAAACTAGCTATTGTTAATCACGCTCATTTCAGTACAACACTATACCAATAACATCGCACGAATCTTGTGATCATTTGAACACGAATTGTTCCCTCGAAATTCAAAGTCCAAACCCAAAATAGGCAGCATCTGTGTTCCTAGTACCCATAACTAGACCCATAGACAGAACCATAGTCTCCAGTAGGTGGTGCATGGCCAGCTTGACCCACAGTATTTGCTGAAGGGGAAGTGTACACAGGTCCATGAGATGGATAGGGATTATAACCTTGGACAGGCAGACCGCCACCAGCGTTCTGTGCACCACCACTTGCAGCATCAGCAAGAGAATTCTGCATCATACAAGGGAAATATTTTAAAAATCATATAATGGTCTATCCATATCTACCAGTTACCAGTCTCGACTACAGCCCAACGAACCATTGAACGGTTGTTGCACATAATTTCTATATCACTTCTTGATAACAAAGATGACATTATAAAAGCATATTAAAATGACGATGGCATAAGAATATGTAGCCCAAAAAGAGCAATACTTGCAATTATCTATATATGTAACAGCACAAGAACACAATGACTAGGAATTAGAATATCCCCCTCTAACGTCCAAAAGATGAAAGTGAGAAAAGCAGGCAGTACGATAATTAGATTCCTAAAACGCTAGGAAACACCTGTATCAACTGTTGTGCTGCTTGGACTTGCGATGCAGAGCCATTAATTTCAACAGTCATCTCACCAGGAACGCCTCTAGTTTCCTGTATTGCAATTGTTGCACCACTTGCACGACGAATATAGCTAATATTTGCACCATTCACACCAATCACAGCATCAGCATATGATAGAGGAATTTGCATGTTCTGTGTGACCTACAAAGCAAAAGATAGAAAAGACATTCAGTGGGATTAACGCAAATAGTATAAAACCAATCAAGCAGATTTGGATATAAACAAATACGTTTCCAACTATACAAGTAGAGATCCAAAAATACGTTTCCAACAATTAAAGATACAAACTTCTGAAAAGTTCGAAATAATACAAGGCTGTACTTGAATACAGAAACATACTCTACAGTAGATAAAAACCAATACAAGAAAGACAAGAAATTGAAATGCAGATCAAAGCAAAGAAATTCCACCTTTGCAACCACTGTTTGTTGTGGCTTAACGCAAATAGTATAAAACCAATCAAGCAGATTTGGATATAAACAAATACGTTTCCAACTATACAAGTAGAGATCAAAAAATACGTTTCCAACAATTAAAGATTACAAACTCCTGAAAAGTTTGAAATAATACAAGGCTGTATTTGAATACAGAAACATACTCTACACTAGATAAAAACCAATACAAAAAAGACGTGAAATTGAAATGCAGATCAAAGCAAAGAAATTCAACCTTTGCAACCACTGCTTGTTGTGGCTGCACATTTGGTATATGAGCACCCATTGACACATCTCTGCCATAAGTAGGTGGACCCATACGAGGTTGCTTGTCTAAAGTAGACATGTCAACTGGTGGATAGTAATTATCATATTGACGTGGAGGAGGCATGTGCATAGGATTGTGTCCATAACCATGTCCACCAGGATTCATGGGAAATGCTGGAGGAGGAGGTCCCCAAGATTGGTCAGGAAGCATGTTCTGGTTCCCTCGAGCATTTGGCATTTGCATCTGACAATGTGAAGAACTAATATGCATCAATATGCACACAGGATACTGAATCAGAAAATTATACGCTTATTACTTGCCTGTGTTTCAAATATTCCAATAACGCTTCGATCAACTAAAAATTTCCTAAGATGTGTAGCAATTAATTCAACTGCCTTCTGCAGACCTTCAGGCTCCCCCTGTATCTCAACAATACTATCGTCTGGTAAAGCAAATACTGGCAAGTGCCCTGCTAACATAAGAGGTAACATATTATAAGAAAATATAATCAAAAGAGATCGTCAGCTTAAATAGGAACTCCGACATTTAAGAACTCTCTCCCTGCCAAAGGTAAGAAAGATAAGAGAGCTTGTTCAAGGGTTTTGTACAACAAGACTAAGAAGTGCATGTATTCCATATACTTGTGAAAAACTTGCACTTATAGCCTAAAATATTTAAAGGATTTTTTATGCTATTTTAAACACGACAAACCCTGTAACTACAAAAAAGAATTAAAGAGAAAAGCGAAGCAAGCGTGTCAAGTCTCCTACAATTGAAGTGCAATAAACCTCATCCCACATGAAGTTGCAACTTTCAGCTATAGACCACCAGTGACGAGATATACAATGCGTAACTTCAAAGTTTTATTTCTTTTACAATTTTCTTCTTGTTGTCTCAGTATTTGTTACCATTGCAAGTAGAAGAGTAAGGAAAGGGATAATAACAAGATGGTTTATAGAGGAATCAACTATAGTGATGATTTTATGGAAGACTTTCAGGCTACTTCTGGGTCTAGAAATGATTATCAATTTTGTTATGCAATTACTAATTTGATAATCTATTATTTGATAAATTTTTATGTATCTTGTGTTTGATAACATGTTAGACTTGATTTTGTTAAATTGTGCCAATAAAAATTTTCAAGATAGCTTTTATGAGGGGCATACTAGCCTTTTTTGTAATTTTATAAAAATTGTTTGCTAATTTTCTTTGAGGCTTTTCCTTTGACTCGCAAGGTAAAACACCTCGGTACACAATTCAGCCTTATTGAACGTTGCTACTGCTGTTTTTTTATTTTTTTGAAAGAGCATTCGGGTAAAATTTTAAAATTTAAACCTAAAACGTATTAAACTAGGAAGGTAGTGCGGTTAAATTTTATAAAATTGCATCCAAAAGGCACTAAAACTAGGTAGGTAGGGCAGTTGGATGCAGAGAACCAAATATAATGTTAACAGAAAATGAAACGTGATTACAAATATAAAGTTTTCAAATGATGTTGTGAGACAACAGCGTGATGGCGGCGTTGCATTCTCTGATTCACATATACATATGATGCCAAATGAGCGAGTGGAAAATGAGAAATGAAAAACGAGAACTAGCAAAAGGCACAGGACTTAATTCCCCAACTAAAAGTATAAAAAAGGTTGCCACCAAAGAAAGAGGGAAACTTACCTCCACCCAGAACTCGAATGTTACAGTGAGAAGCATCTTGTACAGACTTTATAGTGGCACCCTGCTTTCCAATCAAGCTTCCAGCCTGTGTAGCTGCTAAGAGTAACCTTGTGCTGGCCGATCCACCCGCCCCTGATGCCGCATCCCTGTCTGCATCCACGATTCGCTTATGGACTTTAAGTAGCCCATCTATAGCAGGAGGAATTTGAAGATCTGGCTCTTCCTTTGCAGAAACCATTACCTATAAGAAAGGGGAAATACATGATTCAGTTGAGCACGACTCTACATCAATCCTTCTTTTATAGGGCCAACACAAAGTATAATAACAATAATACTTCTGTAAGCAGCACCTTGAATTAGCACTAAGGTGTATTGCATATTTATGGATGCCTGGACAGACTGTCAAATCCAGGAATCATATCGAGAAAAATGAAATTGATGACAGAGGTTAAGCAAGATTAACAGAAATGCCTTAGCACCTCTTTATAATAGTATACAACCATGTCAGTCGAATGGTGGAGGGAGTAAGGAAGCTCATTTACTCTCTGAGATAATCATGCTAACGAACATCAGATGAGGATGGAAATAAACTTGGATTAAGAGGGAGAGAGAAAAATGATCGCAAGATAGCAGTCTTAACATATATAGCTCAGGTGTTCATGTTACCATAAAGTATTCAAGCCACCTCCAGCAAGCATGCCTAGAACCAGTTCAGCAGAAATAATAAAACTAGTATCAAGAATATACAGACAATGTAACAAAAAATCTGTTGATCAGCCATACACCATTACATTATGATCGGATATCAAGCTATAAGGTAGTATCTAAAACTGACATTTAAATTAGTCAGCCCTAATCAAAACTCATCCAGCGTACGATTCGAATAAACTTATCTATTTAAAAGCATTTCTATCTTTTACACTATTAAACGCAAATTGTGTATTATGGGTCTCACATTAAACATACAGACTAATCCAACTTTTAGAGTCCATAAAAATAACAAAAACCGCTCATTTCTAAGATCCATGCACTACACATTAACAAGTAAAAGATATCATTTAAGACTCCAACATCTTATATCAGATGGATTCGTAAAATTTAATATTTTTAAAGTTTGTCTCTTGAGAAACTATATAATATAGACCTAATTCCATGAAATGGGAAAAAAGGGTTCAGATTAGGAACTAACAGATATAAATAATAGAATTTTTCTATTACCAACAGATTTTATATCATACCATAAACCCAGACAGGCGTTAATT